AAAAGTACTCTAGATTGGACGATTCGAGCCGTCCTTTATTCGCTCATCAAGCCCACCACCAGCATGGGAGAAAACGAAGTAAGTTCACAGTAAACTGACCTAATGAATTCGTTTGAACCGCACTTTGGTTTCAGGACACAGTTCAAATTTTCCTCGGTATTAGACAAGGAAGACATAGAAAACATGATTGTACATCTGAAATCTGAAATGGCTGAATATGAACAAGCTTTTCGATCCACGTCAACACTGAGTGGTTAGTTCGTTGGCATTATTGTATCTTTATTCTGGTCTATCATTTGTTTCTTCAATGTGATATCAAATTACGTGCAATTTGCTGCACTATAGTCAGGCGACCATATTGAAATCTAATCACCCCTCCCGATGAAGGCGTTCGAGCCGTGGAGCTCGTGTTTCTCGTTATGCCCATTAATAATGTGTCGAGAATCGGAATAAACACAGGGTCCCTTGTCCTCAAAACTGAAGCGTTAGGGGAAATCGGAAACTTGTGGCGAGACAGGCACTGTCCGAATAGCTGGTTCTTTATTATCGTTGCACTATGACAAGCAACGTAAGGATCAAGTATAAAGTATGCCGTTGATCAATCCCTTTTTGTGATCTGGCACCCATTTCACTTCCGTTGAGTATAGAAACGGCTTATTGAATCCCGGCGGGGCGCCGACCCGAGGTTTGACCGCACTGGAGTTGATCAATATCCATCCAAAAGCTACCTTTTCTCCTACACTTCCTCTTTCCTACGTACATTCTCATGAAACATCGAGTCGCTTCTTCTGTTCCCCTGATCTTTAGTCGTGAAAATGTGAACGTACTGAGCAGCGTAACTTACTCTTTTGAATTCTACGCTATCATGTAATGGAGAGTGAGGACAAGCTTAACCGCACCCTGTCATTTTTCTGGAGAAAGCGCCCACCTAATCCAGTGCAATATACACTGACCAGGGAAGCCCGCCAACTTACCAACTTTGAATGGAGACCTGGGTAGATCGATAGAGTCTATAAGGTTATTTACAAATATAGATAGCAAAACTGCAACCTGCATTTCACAAGCAACTTATGAGCAGGTAAAGTTTGTAATGGTGCAGTAGGGTGGAGGCTTGGTGGTGAGCTGTGAAGCATAAGCGAGGAATCGCATACGTCGAATCGAGTCGTGGTGGCTCAGTGGTAAGGTTCGACGTTTCGACGAGTTTTGCTTTTTTGCTTTTGTTTTGCTTTTGCTTGCAGTTTTGCTATCTATATTTGTGAGTAACCTTATAGACTCCATCGATCTACCCAGGTCTCCATTCAAATTTCCATGGAGAGTTGACGGACTTCCCTGGTGAGCGCCTCAGGAGAGCCTCTTACTTGGCTCATATAGTGAGAGTTTATAGGATATATAGTGAGAGTTTATAGGATAGATACTGTGGATCAAGAGAGTACCCCGTAGTTCCCTGCGGATGAAGGTGCGTCATGCACCTTCATCCGCAGGGAACTGAGTGTGTCACGGCACCAAACCCATTCTCTGCCAGTTGTGAAGCGGGTACGAACGATATGGTGCAGCCTTGTCACTTGCTCGCATCGACAGCTGGTGGAGAACGGGTTTTGCACCCCGCCAAACTCATCCTGCCTGACACGCCCCTTCGTCCGCAGCGAACTAGACTATATTTGTTATCGTTAAAACAAAATTCCTCAGCACTTTTCTCTTGCAGTCTCGGCATCTTCCAACAAAGTTCGGCAGTGTGTCAAAATGTTGTGCAAGTTGATCAATTCCATCGAGCCGATGAGCCTTCATCAACATTTGCAAAATTATCTAACAGCGACTACAACTGTAAGTTTGTACCGCAGAATCATAGTATTACTTTCATACTGCCTTCTGTCGTGTTATAGGACCAACTAAATTATGCTCGAAACGATTTCATTGCCTCGCTGCACAATTTTATTATGGTTTACTGCCAATGCACACTGAGTTATTACAAGTTAGCTCCGCTCAGAGTGAGTTTGGTTTTTTGGTTTGCAAATGAATCAGAATATTGCCATGGTGCTCTCCTTTTCAGCCATTCAACAAGCAGAAGAAGGAGATCCTACACTGTAAAGAGAAACTTGCGGTGAAGGTGGATTCAGTGCACAATTTGGTAGAGATGTGGACGAGGTAGGCTTTAATTAGTTTTACTACTCGATAGTTTGTATTTTTCAAGGTATACCGCCTTCACATGATAGGTAGTATCCCTTCCTTGCAGTAGTGGGTCGGTCCGCAGTCGTATCCGCTTTTCCCAGTCCCACTTTCGTTGCTCGACAGTGGCTGACGACGGCGCTGAAACCGTCATTAGACGAAGTTAAGGGAGGTAGGCCGTCCGTGGAAGTAGTCCCTCCCGTTTGGGGATGAGATATGCCATATCTGTGAATACAAATGTGACGCGTTGCGTTCACTCTGTGTGCAATCCGCCAGTATCGTCCCACTCGCCGTTCATTTCGTCTTCTTCTACTCTGTGCCACACAGCGGTATCTCGCTTCTTCAAGTATTGCCTGCTTTTAGTTTCGGGGGTTTAGCCAGGGCGTCTCAAACGATTCTGTCCACTCTTTTCTTCGCTTTGGAACAAGTAAGCATCTGCGAATTCGTTCTTGAACCCCCCTCTTGCACGCCCATTCATCAGCAGCGAACAGGGCTGTAGTTGCGGAATGTGCCTTAAAAAGTAAAGCGATGGTTCTGTACCATTTCCGTGCCATCAGATGACTCGGCTTGTTATTGTGACTCATAACTTCTGAATGAGCTGCATGGCTGTCTCGTCACACGGTGTAAGTTGCGCCAGATAAGGCGCATAGATCAAAGAATAAACAGTATGACCGACGGGGATTTTTTTATTCGTGTTTTCATTTTTCGATCGTTTTATGTGGACAGACTGATTTTCCAGAGAATACTCAGCCTTCTTCGTTACGGTGAATGTGTATTATGGAACGCAAGTTTTAGCCGGTCATAGTAAATGTATTTCGAAGACAGTGAAATATGATGCCTTCTTTCCCTACATTCCTATCAATGTTTACGTAAGTTCTTTACTTTATAAGGGTATGAGACAAGAGGATCGTAATTTACCGCGCTGGCTGGTGGGCGTCGCGTGCGACGTCGCGCCCGCAAATGACGGGTTCCAGGTAGTAGATGGCGACAACAGGCAATTCAGAACCGAAAATAGTCATGAATGTCTACGATGACGGGGTCTACATGAAGTCCGGTGCTCCAATCGACAGGTTAACACGAGTTAAGAAAACGCCGCGCCCATCGCCGCGCGCGGCGGAGCGGCAAATTACGATTCTCTTGCCCGTCTTCCACTCTATAATTGTTAGTGTACGACAAATCTCTTTTGATTTCAGGCGTGTTTCGAGGATATGTTGTGTACTTGCCCAAGGGAAACGAAGATCATGTTCATATTGTCGGGAATCGCCATCGTATCGAATGCTAGTTCAGGCGATGTGACAGAAAGCACGCAACGTCCGTTGGCGTTTGCGTCGTTACCTCTGTTTGATCATGAGATGTATGTGTTTCACTTTTACCGTCTTCGATTGTAATATTTCGAGAGAAAATCCTACTATGTTGTTGATGGTGTGTAGGGGCAAGTACTACTGCTTACTGCAGGTCGGGGGTCAAAGTGCAGATAGGCTTCCGCCCGAGGTTTTAACAAATCTTCCATCCTGCCAAGGACCGTTAAACTGGTACCAGGTTTGTTTGGGAGGATAAAGGCATAGATGTGCGCAGATAGGCTCGATGTCATTAGAACGTCGTTTACCATGAGTCATTACAACATTTCTATGGAAGAGCATTGCTTGGCGCATCCCAGAAGAGGTGTTGACAGGACACGTACTCGTTGGAGAATAACTCTGTAAGATACGAACCTCTAACATTTCCTCCTGTGGTGCGACCTCTTTCCCACATCCTACCTGCCATTCTCTTAAATCCTCCTACCTTCCTACCAACTTTCAGTTTCCCAAAAATACAGTTTTTCCATGAAAATGGGCGTCGGAGGAAGGGAGGGGGGAGGGTGGACCCAGCGCTCACGAAGCGCTGGGGAGCAAATTTGAATATACCATCCTGCTCTCATATGTCCATACACTATAGGGCATATTTCTTATACTACGCTATTTCATGTCTTTTTTCGAATGATCCATTTTTTTGTAACACTCTTGAAAATACACTCTAGCTCGTGCGGACGTAGTGGGCGTTTGTCAGCTGGAGTATAGAGTGCCAAACTACACTCTAGTTCGCTGCGGACGGTTGGGCGTGTCAGGCAGTATGAGTGTGTCACCCCGTCAAAGCCGTTCTCTGCCTTCTTGTTGAAGCGCGCATGCGACAAAAAGTGGTAGAAAACGAGTAATACGAACGATATGATACAGTCATATCATTTGCTCGCTTTAACAACTGGTGGGGTTTGGCACCGCGCCAAACTCATCCCGCCTGACACGCCCAACCGTCCGCAGCGAACTACACAATACCTTCTGGAAAACTTGGTTCAAAGAACGATTAGAGTTCTCAGTGCAAAATGCGGTCCCATTTCAGGGTCTTACGGCAGGGCCAGGTGTTTATCCCTTTAACGGTACTGAAGGATCCTGTGTTGAAACCATGGGGCCCATATCCACTGATTGCCAACGAAAAGGATCCTGTACTAATCGTCACTCTGCCAACGTACGACTATATTGTGGTGTTTCCTGACGTCAATGTGGAATTTCAAAGGTACGTTTTCACTGTATTGTAAGGACTGAAGGTCCCTACACTGGCTGTTTACTCACTTGTTTACGACGTTACTCAGACTGGGTAACACACTTTTCCCATTTTGTGATTACAGTGTCAAACAAGATCCATCAATGCTGGACAGCGAAACGCAGGAATATCTCATGGACCTGGTCGAGGCGGTGATACACAAAAGTGGGTGGATTGATTCTCAATGCCAATATCTTTGCGGTTTATTAGGTCTACTTGTGCCATACGCGATTATAAGTTCAGAAAAATAGAACGGATACAGTATCCTCAAAAATTGTGCGGGGAATTAAATGTCATTCCTCGCTCTTAATGCACACAGTTGGGCATATCCTAAGCCGGTTTAGTGCCCAGGTTTGAGGCTTTTTTATTAGTCTGACGAAGCCGGATGAAACCAAGACGGGAGCGACGCTGATTCTCTTCTAACCTGTGGTCAGTTGCTGCGCGGTATTGACTGCTACTGTGTGCACACGGCACTTCTCCGCATTCAGTTTTACACGCAGTTCAGGATACTGTATCCCGCCTAGTTTACTAAACTTATAAGGTGATGTGAAAGACGAAGTAGCACCAGATGTTTCTTACAAAACAACTAAAACTCTGAGAAAGCTAGAGTTCCTGCGTTCCTGCATTTTCCCTTGAATATTTCGTTGAGTAGCACTTTCCCAGCAAAGTGAGTCTATCTCAGCTGCTACTGAGCAGCTCTACTTATGGGAGTCTGGCCCGAAAGCTCTAGAAGTCTAGGTCTTTGGGCAGAGGGATATGCCCGCAAGGAC